CTCTTGATATGCAAATTATTTTGTCAAGGCGCCCTTTCCCCCCCCCCCCTTCCAGCCCAGCTTATATATATGCTCCAAGCACGTGTGCTGTTTCATTCAGACGCTGTCGCCTCGACAGACCTGGTTTCACCTGAGGACGGCTGCTTGCGTTGTGGCCGAAACGTCGTGATAATTATTTTATTATGTTTTATTTTAATTATTTTATTACTTCCCTTCTACGTGACTTTACCGAAAGAACCAAGAAGAAGATGAGCAATGCCTCGTTCTTGTTTCCATGGAGTTCATATGTTGTTTTGTAATAGCAATGATGGCATTGGGCGTATTGCAGCTTTACATCTTTAGTGCCGACATACAGCGCTTACACAAGGCAGCTTTGTGTTGCTTTAGGAGGCCACGCTTTTTATTGTATGCAGGTAATATATCGGCGATGACACCTGCACACAATGGGCCTTCTTCAGAATAGCGTGATGACATGCACTTTAACTTCTTCCAGCGGTCAGATGGAGCCGCTTTATCATGGTGTGCTCTCAGAACGTTATCAGGGCTATTAGGCCAGGGGTTCAAAGTGCTGAACCTTAGACCTCAAGAGAACTCTTCCCTACGCAGTTGCCCCCTATTTTCTTATCTCTGAAGGCAGATAACCCAGGAAGCCAGGCTTATTCTCCTCCCACCCTTAAACAAAAACCTTTCTTGTCTTGTTCTTCAATATTTTCTTGCCTTCTGTATACCTCCTTTGAGTTTTTTTATTCTATTTTTGGGAACTTTTTTGTCTTTTTTCCACGTAGTTTAAAATCATCCTTATCTGTTTCAGGTGTGGGTTTTAGTGCTGTTACATGATCGTTGATGCTTTACGCAGTTTTGATTTCGGATACCCACCTTTGCATGGCCTGAATACACGTGTGGGAAAGAAACATCTACGGGCACATGAATGTGTTGACACACATGGGCTCCATCCAGTAAAATTTGCAAGCACGCAGAGACATGCGAGTGGGTTTCTGCCTGGATCAGGAGAAAGCCATCGATTGTATTTTGGTCATTTTCCATTTGCTGGCCATTAGCGGTAACTGGCACCATGCACGCAGACCAAACAGCATTCACTACTTTGCTTTTTGCGGTAACATTTCCTGACGTTCATGCCTAATATGGTGTTACATCGTGTTTGAAAATGTACGTATTTATATATTTTTTCCACTCCTAAGAGTGTCTTGAATTTCAAGAGTATTTAGTTTAGACAAGTAATTTCTCGTTGATTTGTATTCTGACAAAATATGTAAAGTTTTATGAATTTGATGTTTTTGGTGCAACTGGATTGTTAAATGCATCTGCCACTGGACCAGGTGTTAAAAAAGCATGCTATCTAGTGGAAAATGGATTGTAAAGAACCTGCAACGTCATTGACAAGTGTAATCCACAGCATTCCAGTTGTCAACATTTTAATACGCGTGCAGTATGATCATGAGATAAAGGTGCAGCCCTGCAATCGCTTTGTCTGGCCACAACTGCTGAAGAGGCTTCACTCCAGGAGCTTCCACTATTAGAGGCCCTCTATACCCTCCTAGAGAGCCCCTCCAAAGGATATGTTGGCCTCCTCTTCCTTGCTCATAAAATAATACAATATCAATAATGCAAAGGATAGAATTTTGTCTCCTGTTCAAATAAACTCTTCAATCAAAGAGCTGTTTATACATGTGCTATATATGCATCATTTTAAAATAAATAAATATTGTATCCATTTTAGCTTCGTTCTAACTGGAGACTTTACAACACGTGTTTAATGTAAAAATGTCTCTTGAACTTTAATATGAATGTTTGTTTCCCATAACAAATCTAACCAAGTTTCAAATATGTTTGCTCTTTTGGTTATGACAATTTTTTTTTTCCTGGTGCACCAAACTGACAAAGAAACCTTTGAATAACGAAGGTGGCTTGGGCAGCATACCACAGCTTGGTAAAATGAAACTCCTGTTTTTTTTTTATCCAGGAAAATGAACAAAGAAAAAATAGAGAGTTGGGGGCAGGCCTAAAAATTGAGGCTTTGGGGGTTGTTTAAAATAGCATGGCGCTCTTTCGCATGCAGTAATATCTTGAGCCACAGATCCAAAGCTCTGGTTGTGATGTAAAGAAAGATTAGTTTTCCACATTGTATTAATTAGGTGCTGTGCTTTTTGCAGCATTATGTGCAGTACCTGCGCACTGCTGCTGTGGGTTAGTCATGGCCGGCAACCAGAGGAAATCCAGACAAGCACCAACTTCATTCATTAACACGCCTCAGCAAACATCACCTGCAACGAACCGACATACATTTTTTTTTACAGCAGACTTCCCAAAGCAGAGGAAAAATATGACGTTATGTTTTTGCTTGAATGAAAATCTGCAGAGGCACAAAATGTGTACTGTATGTACGTTTGGGTGTATGACATTTTGTTAAAAGACGATAATGCGTCTGGTTTTTCTTGAAGCCCCCAGGTGAGATGACGTGTGGTGAGGCCCAAAGGTCGATCTGGGCTCGGGTTTTATGCCCACTGGCACAGCCTGGGTAATGAATTGCCCCGTGTTCCGAGTGCTCAGGCACATCCTGCTGCTCTGTCCATAATTTACTTCATCTCACCGCGCTCCTACTTTATTTTTTTGACATTACCTCTGTTACCCTCGTCACACGAAGGTGCCACGGATTCATTTGTCTTTCGGCCTCCTTAAAGGGTCCACGGAAGGTTTCACGTCAACCTTTGAAGTACAAAAAACAAGCTCATCGATCTTTACTAAATTGTTTTAAGAGAGATGAAAATATTCGCAGCAATATTAATAATCCACAGCCCGTTATCAATCCACTGCTAAGTCAGAGCCTCCGCATGTCTTGTGGGGTTTGGGGAATGTTTGACCAAGCTTGCTGGCCAGTGCGGGGTCGGTGAAGGAGGTGGCGCAAGAGATCGGTGCAGATGTCACTCTCAGCACTCATTTTAACTATGGCCGGGAATAAATCTAAACACAGTGTGCTAACCACTGTGCCACCACTCAAACCCGTATGAAAGAACAAAAATCATAACGTGGAGCGATTTTTCAAGTCGTTATTGCCGCTTCAAATACAATGACAGTCAATTATAACGTGTGCGCATCATGCATCTCAGGGTTTTTATTGTTAATATTAATTGAAGATACTTACTTTTTATCTGATTAGTATTTTTTTAACACGTACATTTTCGTTCCTGTGATTGAATACAGGAGAACTCTTCTTATCCATGACCTTATTATCCTTGACCCAATTATTCACGACTCCTACTATTATCCACGGAAGCTTTCGCGTTTGGCAAAACTACCTTTCGTCGCGGCCATAACCTTCCTCTTATCCATGATTATTCTTGGTGTTTCCCCCACATTTAAAGCGGAGTAAATTCGCAGTTGACAGCGTTGAATGATATGATCTGTACTCTGTGATATTACACAGCATTTTTCGATTTAAAGCTTTCGTGACTGCAGGGATTCATCTTTTTGGTTCTTTCGGTAAAGTCACGTAGAAGGGAAGTAATAAAATAATAAAAATTCTCACGACGTTTCGGCCACAACGCAAGCAGCCGTCCTCAGGTGAAGACCAGGTCTTCGTGACTTTACCGAAAGAACCAAGAAGATTACACAGCATTTGAAGGGGGACGGTTCCTAAAACTGCTCAAGTGTTATGTGAGGTTACATGCACAGGCAGTTGGACTTGGGTCCGCTCGGGAGTCCCTGTGGCTTTACGGAGCGAGAGCGTGAAACACAATTCCAGGATGCCTATGGAGGCTCGGCAAGGTTTGGCCGTGAGCCAGCACGTGTGCATGTGCGCGTGCATCAGCCGAACCCGCAGCTCACCCACGAATCATGGTGATCATCATGACAAACTCAAGAATGAGGAAACGGCAGGAGGTGTGATGAAAATACCCCCCCCCAACAAAATGGAACTTTTAAACACATCAGTGTGTCAATTACTTTTTGTCTTTTTGCTCGTGGATTTGTAGTGGAATAAGGTTTATTCTATTGCGTTTCATGTTACATATTATAGTTACACGCAGTGCGCTGCAGTGTGCTGCAGTGTGTGTGTTGAGCATGTGTGCTTTTTATGCTTGAATATGCCGCTTCTCTTCATTTATTGCACACCCCTCGCATTACTCTCGCTGTGTTTAGGAATACACCTTGATGCCGGTGCGGCGTGAGTGGCGAGTGCTGTCCTTTACATGGGCGCTGTGAATGCAGGCCAATTGCAGTAGGAATGTAGGTGGTCCTTTTGTGCTCCTGTACACAGTGAGTGTGTTTTGTAGCATCTCCACATACGATGCACAATAGCACCATTTGCATCATCATCAGCCATGATCAATCCACTGTTGGACGAAAGCCTCGCCAAGCCATCGTGTTCAGAGGCTATCAAGACAGTGTGAGATGGTATCAGCTTGGGGACGCCTTCATCCAGCAGTGGAGAGATCATGGCTGATGATTTTAATTTTAATTCACTTTTCCCCTCTGTATATTTCGCAAACGCATAACTATAACTACACTGGATTATCTGTCACTGGAGGTTCCCAAGGCGAGACGACAGCAAGGAATTGGAATCGTTGAGATGAGAGTGACATGCCTAATAAATGCGAATCGTTAACTTTAACCTTCACCAAGACTCTGTCGCAGGGTTCATTGATCCTGTACAGAAAGATCTTCTTTTGTTGATTTGTTGCTGTTTTCATTGGTTCACCTTGCTGTGTGTATATTGCCCTTATCTCTTTCCTTCTCCATTCTCATCCTCCAATTCTTACTTTTCTCTCTATTGCTTTTCTTTTCCATTTCGTTTTGCTAGATCACAGCTAAGGGCACCTGTAGTTTCAAATTTTCATCGTGGTTGCCTGGATATTAGCTGTGTTTTCCTGTTGTTGTTGTTGTTGCAAATATGAATAGATTCATGAGAACAAAAACGTTAATTGTAACCCTATCACGTCCTCTCTGTCCTCTCACCTCCATCCCCAAACCCGTCGTCCCCACAGGATGAGCTGGACCTCCCAGAGAAGCACCGTGAGGCCATGTTCGCCCTGCCTGCAGAGAAGAAGTGGCAGATCTACTGCAGCAAGAAACAGGTGCGGCTCCCGAAATCTGGCTCCCATTATGGGGCAGAGTCCCCGTTTTTTGTATGTTCAAGGGTAAGATTGAGGGTGCTTTTTGCTGTGCATCATGAGGCCCCACAGGGTGGCCCATAAAATGGTGAATAATGGATTCTCTGTTTTTTTTGCGGCACCACAAAAAAAATGCAAGGGGGCACGGGAGAGAGGGCCTTAAATTATCGTTTTGGAAGAGGTGTTGTAGCTTGTGTTGACGGTGATGGAGAATTGCCTGTCAGGTGGAGAACTAATCATTTTTCATCGAGCGAGGAAGGTTTACCTCATCGTCCAGTGAATATGAGCGTTGTGTCCTTGGAATCGTCTCTTTCAACACAAAGAGAGAAGTGCTGCAAAATTAAATTAACTCCGAAGCTTTTATCTTGCTGGGCCGTTCTGTAAATTCAGAGAGCCTTTAGATTTCAGTTAAACTTTTCAATTCATAAAATGTATTATTAACACTCGTTTTTATAAAATTAGCATGGCTCGGCAATTACGCACACGCTGTATGAATGAATTAAATTAACTCTTTTTTTTTTGCGCCTTCGACACTGCATGTGTTTTGAGGATTAACGGGTCGCAATGAGCACTTCTCATTTTCAGTACAGCTAACAAAATATGTGGCTGTGTGATTCATTGCTACGTGTTTATTCTTCCGTTTGTTTTTCTTCTTCATCATCAGCCATGTTCAATCCACTGCTGAATGAAGGCCTCCAAAATCTGACGCTACCTTTTGCAGTTTTTTCCTTCTCAGTAAACACCATAAAATTATACATTGGATTGTTTTTGAACAAAAATGAATTCCATCTTTAAATGTCACATCTATAGCTTTGGATTGAATTAATGTACGTAATAAATTAGTTTTAAGTGGATATAATGTTATTAAGCAACAACATTTGTTATATACGAATACCACTGCCGGGCATTGGTTTGAACATGGCTGATGGTGATGAAGTAAAATCAGGTTCATAGGCAGCAGTAAAGGGTTGTTGCTTGTTCTCTGTTCAATAGCAGAGAAGGATTGTCAGCTTTTAGATATATTTTTATGCAATTCCAGCACTTTTGAGACCATTAATGATTAAGTAATTCATCCATTGCTATGAGATGCATCCCATGTGTACACATACCAATATAATACTGTCCGTGTATAAAAACGCAGCAGCTGAAGGTTATTTTACACATTGGGATCTACTGTCTGCCCATTGCAGTATATCGAGAAAATTATTATATGACTAACCAGTTTAGTACCTTGATATTAAAGTGTTTATAACATACGCAATATGCGCAGCAAGAGAAAAAAAGCTTTTACATTCTATAACTGTTTCCTGAAACAAATTTTTTGTCATTAAATCACAAAGCACTTAGTCAATTACTACGATCAGGGACACAGGAAAGTACATTTGAATGCTATAGTACTTGTATTTAATTAAAACTGGGGAGTAATGAATGGCCTTATTTTTAATGTCGAGAAAATACAGTTGCAGAGCCAATTTCAATATGGAAACTATGATGGGTTTTCTTTTTTACGCAGCACTTACAACTACAGCTCATGCAAAGAACAAGTTGTGTTAACACCGCCGTGTTTTTTTCACACTGATTTTCCTGACCCGGCAGACTCCCGCGGGTGTCTGGGTGTGGACAGGAGGCGAAGTTTGTGGCACTAAATGAATGAGCAGGCTGTGTGTTTTACTAGTGGTGCCGATTGACTCTGGCGGCTTCACTCGGTGCGCAGTTCTCGCAAACGTTCCCGCGCTCGTCCAGCCATCCTACCACCCCGGGCGAACAAGCCCCCCCCACCCCCGCCCCTCCTTACCAATAAATAAATTAAAGTACTGCGTTGGCAGTGGTATGCAACGTACAGCTCGAAAACACTGACCACATTAGTCATTGACACTGCCTTGTAATAACGGAAAAAATATTATATGGTCGGCTGTTGCTTTTGGAAGTGGCCCTCCACAGTGAAGAGAAAAGGAGCAGGGAAACGAAATTGTAATATAAAAAATCACTTTACACTGCTCGGCTCTGGTTTTATACAAACCATATTAAAATGGCATAGCTTTCTCAGGGGCCCACAATGTCAAGTGTCATAGTCAATCACGAATGAGTCTGCATGCTCTTTCTTATCCTGTCCTCAAGAAGGACAAATGCTCAAAACGTCAGCCTACTACAACTGTATATATTTGGCCATTACCAATACAGATCAATTCAGCTCGTGTGTAGGCACTAGGTGCATTCATAGATTGCAGAATCATGAGAGATGGCGATGGCATGGTGATGCCTTCATCTGGTGATATATTGACCATGGCTGATGATGGTGAAGAATAGAGATCTGTTGAATTTCGATTTAAAGCTTTCGTGACTGCAGGGATTCATCTTCTTGGTTTTTTACGTGACTTTACCGAAAAAACCAAGAAGATCTGTTGAAGTTAAGGGGCCTGCATAGTCCTTAGTGTCCAGCTCTCTTGATGAGTTTGTTTCCCTCGGAAGGTTGCGTGCATTAGCCTGGTAGACAACAACGCTGGTAGCCTGAGAGAACACTTGTCCTTGTATGGCTGCCACTGTGGGTGCGCAGTGGAGGAGCGCCAGAGTAAAAGTGGAATAGGATCGTGGGGCAGATCCAGCACGGCCCAAGCAGCCTACGGAAACTTGGCACAGCACCTACCCAACACGTCGGCTCTTTGGCCTGGCCTCATCCTCCAGTGTCATGGTGTGGATGTGTGAACAGCATCAATGTGACCTCCCGACAAATACTTTTGGATATAGACATTGTGTTTATGTGCCATTAAAAAAGTGTTATCCTATCTGCAGCAATGTACACATAATATATTAACCGTAATGTATGCTACCATAATGTAAACAATACAATACACATTTTAAAAAAAATTGTAGGTATATAGAATAAAATATATTTTATATAAATTATAAATTGTAATGTGGGAAGGAAGCGGTGGTGCAGTGGTTTGCACACTGTGCTACAAACCCGTCAACCGAAGTTTGATTGCCCATCCATGGCTAACATCAGTGGTGAGTGATAAACGAACTGGTCATGAGCATGCCCTTTTGCTAACCTGCACTGACCAGCGTGATGAGTTATGATAAAAACAACTCCGGAGACCAGCATGCCGTGGGGAGGCCATTCACGCAGGAGTAGCTTGATGAATGACTTTGAGAAAGAAAAACATTATACAAGTAAACGTAAACAGCCTACCCAACAGCATTACAAACGGACCCCTCAGTAAGGCATAGGAAGACGTTCTTTCTTTCCTGTGGAATTTAACTACATCCCCATGCCGTGCGCATCTTACAAACCCACCTCCCATGAGCACGCTTAAAGAATTTCAAGCTCCTTCATTACCGGTGTTTACAGCTGATTTGATTGGGCTGCACATTTTAGTTGGTCTTATTTGGTAATGCTCCCGATATTTAAGAGTCCCTTCTCAAGCTCTGCCGGTTACCCCCTTTGTGGCTTGGCGCTTGTAAATTTATGGGCCTGCCAGATCAACGAAGAAAGGAGGTTGTCCGAGAAACTGCCAGTGCGTGAGAGCGAGCAGCAGAGCATAAGTACAATTGTGGCAAACACTCATTTTACAAGTCACTGATGGACAATTGAGTTACTTGGTAATACTGACCATTGGACTAGGTTCAAAGAGAAATGTGGAAATATTGTGTTACGCAGAACTCCTGATATATGTAGAATAAAGTATTAGGTATTCTGCTACAAATGTAATATCTGGCCAAAAATTTTCTTAAAAATCAGCCTGACCTCATTCTTTTAAATCACCAATCATTCACTTTGGCAGGAATGCTTGTGCCCACGAGGAAAGGATTCCAACGCATAAAGAAACTATGAAGTGATTAGAATTGAGCCATAAACTTTTATTTGGACATTTATCCCATCATGTTAAATGTGCTGTCGATGTGGTGAATAATGTCAATCGGTCATGACCATTGTCAAATCCACAAATAAACTAATGTCAGTGGGATACTGTTAAGTTCCAATTGTTTTTATATACCTGAAATTGCCCATAGTTTTGATATTGCACACAGTATACGCATGTGGAGCGGGTGCACAGCAACCGTATTTCTATTCCCAGCCACAACGAACATCAGTGGCGAGTGATATCAGAACCGGCCCAGCCCCTCTCCCCCTCCACCTCCATCACCAATCGGATTCGGTGACCCAGGCCACTCTTGAAAATAAGGGGATCCTGGTCTTCATGAGTTTCCACCCAGGTCAACAAATACATTTCACTCAACTTGACCAGTTTGATGATGTATGGTCAGGCAGGACATCAATGAATGAAGAGATGCCTTCATCCATTGCGTGGGTTGGGAATGGCTGGGATTTTATATGAATGTATTTAAAATTACATTTCCAAAACATTGCTTAGCATTGCACAGCCCAACACAGAACTCACACTCACTCGATTTAAATTCACATTAAATTAGGCAATCCTACATCCCACCCCACCATCGCCACCACCTGAGCAGATGGTTGGTTCGGGGCATCGTGTTTCATCTGCACCCAAGCCCATGCTGCACCGAGCACCAATCGGTGCCCAGTAATTGAAGGCGCTTGGCTTGGGAAAGGGCCAATCCGAGAAAGTGATCTGACCTAGCGAGCTTGAGGCAGACACACTAATCGCATGGCCCGCAGCCAGTCTACAGTTATAGACAAAGCTCCATTAACAAATTTAAGATGTGAATGGCAAAAATATATATATGTGAATTACTGCCGGTTTGTTTTAATGTAGGTTGGTGGCCATCAACAATGTTATAGTTGTGTGTTTCAGCCAGACAGTAATGAATGCAAATGTAAAAAAAAGGAAAAACTTAGATGACAATTTGGCAGTTGCTTATGGCACTCAATGTATATTTTGCCTGTTTACTTGATTATTTTAAATAATGTGCTGCATTTATATTTAACATTTTTATATAATGCTAGAAATCAAACACGCAGACATTTTGAGTGCAATGGTGGA